AGGGACGTACTCTATATGGATTTGGAGGTTAAATATCATTACCTTGCCCTAATTCCCCCCCCCCCCAAAAGGCCCTTTTCAGGGCCATACAAATTTTTAAAAAAGATATGCCTTTATTGTAAAATTTCTCGCTATAACAGTACTCCCGATTTAATTATATCGGTTTAAATCATTATCTACTTAAGCTGTATGAATCGAATTAAAATTAGCATTTTATATTCCTTCTTTAAAAAGTTACACACCAATAAAAATAAATCTATTTTTTTTATAAAGTATTTGTATTCATTAAATCTTTTTTTGTGAAGAAGTATTGATTATTTTTTAATACTTCATTGGCCGGTCAGATGGAGGCCTCTCTTCTTCAGGAGCAAAGGAAAAAGAAAGCTTTCTTCTGAAGAGGACAGACTTGTGTTTCGCATTAAATATTACATATCTACTATTCATAGGCACACTAATAAAGGCATATCTTTATTAAAATTTGTATGGCTCTGAAAAGAGCCTTTTTTTTTTTTTTAATTATTTCAGTCCATCATCCTTTCACTTTTTGCCTTTCTTTGGAGTGGCTTTTTTAACTGCTTTAAGTTTCTTTGCTTTGGGAGGCTTCGGCTTCGTTGCTTTCACAACTTTCTTTGGGCTTTTTGCTTTACTCACTTTTTTAACGCTCGTTTTTTTGGCAGCAGGCTTTTTCTTCTCCTCTTTTGCTTTAGCTGGTTTCTTTGCAGGCGCTTTAGCTTTCTTCGCCGGTGATGCAGCTGCCTTCTTTGGCTTCTTCTCTTGTTTTCCTGACTCCTTATTTTTATGGCCAGATGCACTAACTTTGAATGAACCAGTAGCTCCCTTTCCTTTCGTCTGAACTAGGCTTCCACCAGCTACAGCACTCTTCAGATACTTCTTGATAAAAGGGGTCAAACGGTCAATATCCACTTTGTGATGCGATGCAATATGCTTCTTAATGGCTTGAAGAGAAGAGCCACCCCGTTCTTTCAAACTCGTAATAGCCTCTACGACCATAGCTGAAACTTTAGGATGTGATGGTATCGTCTTCGGTTTCTTACTCGCTGATTTCTTCGCCTTCTTTGGCGTAGCAGCAGCAGCAGGTGAAGATGAAACGGTCTCTTCGGTTGACATTGTTAGGCCTCCGAACGAACGAACTAACTGTCCGATGGTAAATATCGAAATGAGGGTACCCCAATATGTGTGCGTAGACTTGGGGGAGGACACATGAGGCGGGGCTTAGAAATTTGACCTTTCATAGGTCTTGTATGCTCACGTGACCTATCAAACAGAGTTAAGAAATACGAATAGCCCGCGAAATTTTTATTATTTCTTGATTTCTAGTTGCGTTGTGAAGTGCTGAAGAAGCTCTTACTTTTGAGATGGCTCGTACGAAGCAGACTGCAAGGAAAAGTACTGGAGGTAAAGCTCCTAGGAAACAGTTAGCTACTAAGGCTGCGAGGAAAAGCGCACCAGCTACCGGTGGTGTTAAAAAACCTCATCGTTACAGGCCTGGTACTGTTGCTCTCAGGGAGATTCGTCGTTATCAGAAATCAACAGAATTGCTGATCCGCAAATTGCCTTTCCAACGTTTAGTCAGGGAAATTGCACAAGACTTTAAGACCGATCTTCGATTCCAGAGCTCAGCGGTTATGGCTCTTCAGGAAGCCAGTGAAGCTTACCTGGTAGGATTATTTGAAGATACCAACTTGTGCGCTATCCATGCCAAGAGAGTGACTATAATGCCGAAAGACATTCAGCTGGCTCGTCGTATTCGTGGCGAACGCGCTTAAGTGACATTTTTTGTTTTTAAAAAAAGGCCCTTTTCAGGGCCATACAAATAATGTAATAAGTTATGTTACAATAATTGCTTCCTTTTATTCCCTGCCTTTTTTTCCCCCATTAAAATTTTCTACTCATTCGAAAATCTTCCCTCTTTTCATTAAATATTTATGAGTTATTAAAATTGAATGCGCACATTCAAGTCTGCCAAATTTTTATTTCGAAATCATCACTTTATAAAGATTTCTTTCCTCTGACAGCAATTATTGTAACTGAGCTTATTAAATAATTTGTATGGCGCTTAAAAGTATTTATTCTTTGCAAAGTATGCATATCCAATCACTTTAATTCCGTTAGGAACTTAATATTCGAAATCTTTTTCACATGAATAATCTACGGATAGATGGCACCACTTACAAGATGTGTTTTAAAACATTGTTTATATACGATTAAAATATGAATTTTTGGGAGACATTTAATTTTAATTCCTTTAAGTTCCTCCTTAAATATTTGCATCATAATGGATGCAAATGTCTGTTACTCTCAACATTGTATTAAAATTAGATCTTATAGAACATATGATAAAGAAACAGAAAAATACACAATTGTACATGTGTCGCCTCTTTCTAATTCAAGCAATTAAGCATTTTCTTTTTGGTATATTTTTTGGCCCTTAAAAGGGCCTTTTTTTGAGGGTGGGTGGCAATGTCAAGGATAAGTTATGCTTTCTTTTCTGTCTTTTTTGGGAGTAGTACAGCCTGGATATTGGGAAGCACTCCACCCTGTGCAATAGTGACACCAGAGAGCAGTTTATTTAATTCCTCGTCGTTTCTTATAGCCAGCTGAAGATGTCTAGGAATGATTCTGGTCTTCTTGTTATCTCGAGCTGCATTACCAGCCAACTCCAGAACCTCAGCAGCCAAGTATTCTAAAACTGCAGCAAGATAGACGGGAGCGCCGGCACCTACTCTTTCAGCATAATTTCCTTTTCGCAAAAGACGATGAATACGACCAACAGGAAATTGAAGACCAGCACGACTGGATCGAGTCTTGCTCTTTCCCTTAACTTTGCCACCTTTACCACGACCAGACATGATGATATGATTGCAAGATTAATACAAAAATGACGCTCTAGAGACCCCCGTTTTATTAACTCTGTATCTACCATATTTAACCAATGAGCGCAAGACTTTGAAATGAATGGTCCAATAGAATTGTAGCTCTCAATCTCTGTTAGGCACCCTGTGTGGAAATATCAATTCATATTTTTAATTTATTTTTCCTTTATATTAACTAGTTAGCTTGTCGTACACCACTGACTTAAGTCATATCAAATACTAAAACATTGAGTAGAACCGTTTAATGACCAAGTATTTGTAATAAGAGAATATTATTGTTATTCAAGCATCTTCTGAATATTAATAAACAATATTTCTGCTAAGTAGATGAAAGAAACATGAAAAGAAAAGAAAAACATGTAGATAAATTCTACTATACTTGATATTGCTTCTCCTTCAACTGGCAAAATGTTTTATCATACAAAGCTGTGGTACATAGTTTCACTCTATATGTGTACTCATACTCTAGAGTACATATATAGGTGAGGAACTACTGATACTACATATGTATACGATTGAAATTAGAAATATACTCTTGAATGCAGATATACTTACCTCCAATAAGAATTAAAAATGCATGTATGTGTGTGTATATATATATATTACACTTAGTCCTCACTGGCACCCGAACATATTGGCCATTTCAAAACCCAGTAATTTATAATCACATTACTGGACAGTATCAGAAAAACATAACTAACATTATCAGATGTTTTCTATAACTGGTTGATACTAATTTGATATTTTGTATATGTTAGTTAAATCACTGAACGGAATTTTACATAACTTTAAAATTCGTTTTTATTAAGTACAGTAGATAGCATTAAAATTTAAACTCAGTAGTTCTCCATTTCCTATCCCTTCCTCCAAGGCCAAGAAGGTATTCATATTTCAAGAACAAGAAAAGGAAGGAAACTAAGCTTTACAGAAAATGCTTATTATAATACTTGCCATTCATGTACACTTTCATAACACAACAGAAAGTAGAAGAAACTATGTGCATGCATATTTAAATCATCTAACCATAAGTAATTTTAAAGATGGTTATGTCTTATTGAAACAGATTTATTAACCTAAATAGAAAATATGAAACATAAATATTATTTTTATACATTTTATTTCTATACTAAATCACGTTACATGACATAAAACAGAAGCAAAACACATAACAGGAAAGAGCTTGAATCAGTAAACTGTTGCCATTCACTGTGAAAATACAACTGTTGCCAATTACTGACAAAGTATGACTGTTGCCACTATATCTAATGAGATGAAGAGTAACCCTCAACATATCTTTCAGGATAGGCCAATAAATGAATTAATTCTTTAAAGCAGTGCCATTGTGATCACTCAACTTACAAAGTGTACAGATAGATGAATTTGCATCCTGTAGTGGAAGATGGTGCCTGTTTTGGTTAAAATAAAAAGTGCATCTTAAAGTTTCATTCTTCTTTGAAACATATGAATACATGAAACATGGATACTTATTGCAAAGGTAAGTGCATTGAACAGTATATTTTCGATCTGAATCGTATGTATGAAGCACAAGCTGTATGTTGGAAGCATTAAGCCATTTTGCCAAAGCATGTTTCTCTTATTAGAATTCTTGTTTCTAGTGTCTATTCTTTAAAGTATGTTTTTTTTAACAGTAATATTAATGTAATTATATGATGATTATGAGAATTGGTATTAATTGTGTTAAGTATTCAGAACATGTGTTTGAAAAACGATAGTATTCTGTCATTCTAAATGCTTGGTCACTTAGTTAGTATGTAACATTTTCATCTGAAAAATTAAGTAGTCTATTTCAAATGATAGTGCAATGGGTGATCTGTCCAAGAGGCATGACTGAAAACCAGTAACTGAATGTAACGAAGTGAAAAATCTGTACCTACTTTTACTAGCTTATTTACACTAAATTATTACTAATGGAATTTAAGAGATACTGAATTGATTGCAAATGATGTAATCAGATTTACACATCTCCATGCAATGTCGTGTGTAATTTGGGTTACTTTCTGATGAGTTTGATCAAATCAAGATATATATATATACAATGAATAAGGAAATTCCTACAAATTTGCTGTGCTCACTGTTGTGCCTCCTAATTAAAATCTTTTTATTGTCAGAGTAGGCATATTGGCACCAGTCCCGATTAACTATATTTGAAGATTTTGCCCAGAAACGATGGATGTATTGTAAATGGCATTTAATCTCACACAGCTGACACATGATGGTATGGAATATGACATGTAATGTTAAAGTAGTCATTTATTTCATCAAATGAAAGGACTTTTGTTGTTGCTGACAAAATTGAATATTTCCTGTTGGTTAAGTGCACAGTTGAAAACTTTAACGGTCAGTTCAGAGAGAGGAAATGAAGTCACTTGTTTCTGTGTTGTTACGTTGTAAAAAAAATGTGCTTGTGTTCAAGAAAGTGTAATTATCTTCGAAAAATTGAAATTCAAAGTCAAGTTAGATGCCTGTTTGTAATTTGGTGGGATGGAATGTTTGTATTAGAAACATCACATTTCCATGAAGTCGTAAAATTGATGAAAAGTGACAAAACGACTATCAAATATGAAGAAAAGGTTTATTAGTTATAAATGTGAGTAAGATGAATAGATTACAATACAAACAATGATGTGAAATCAATGAAAATTGGAAAAATCTGGTGATGTGTGAAATATGAAAAATATATTTATTAATTATAAAAGCAGGAATTTTATTAATTAATTATATACGAGGAAGAAGAAAAAAAATTATATATATGAAGGAATTTTATGCAGATCCCCGCCCCGCCCCCTACCTTCCTTCCTACCTACCTACCTACCTACAGCGGGATTCGAACCCGGGCCCTTCGGCCCAGTAGATAGTGTCACTAACCACTGTCCCGCCTCGACAGGCTAGCCACTTTCCTGTGTAGGCAGTACTTATGATATTTCGGATATTATAGAATGTCTTCATTCCAAGTATTCTGAGAAAGGCTTTGATCGAGCTAGTGAAACCATTTGTGGTGCATTCAGATGTCTTGCTCATCTTGTCCACAGAGTAACTACAGTGTATATCTTGCTTCAACACTGTATACGTATTCTTATGATGATTTCTGCCTCACTACGAACTCTCTACAACTAACCCACTGCTATGGATCTGCTAATACTTCTCTTCCTACTTCTACTTCAACTCACCTGTCTAAGACTTTCGTTATGCTACTCAACGTTCGAAAAGTTATCTAATTGTTATATTGGGAATTTTTTTTTTTTTTTTTTTTTCCATGTAGCCATGTCTGACGTGTATTCTTTTCTTCGAGTGATTAGTTTCATCAAACACGAAGCACACAGTTCTTTTACTTCTTATTATCGTGTATATGTTGCATTAGATCCATATATTGCCGGGGGGGTTAATTTGTGAAGAAAAGGACAGGGGGGAGCCAAGTTTCCAACCTGTCGTTGTAATAATAGTAAATTCTCCTGTCACGTTGTCATGAAGCTAATTAACTCTCTGAGCATTACGGGCTTAGCCTTGATGACTCTTTCATTTTGTACCTTGATTCCTTTTCTTCCAATATACATCCAAACTGAAATCAGATACGTTAACTCTTTAAAATCCAGACCCTTCGCTAAGCTGTATCCTCAAAATACCCGAACCGCCCGAAATACTTTACCAGTTTCACAGCAATTTCCTCACCTCCCCGTCCATTAATGCAGAAAATAGGTGTAAAGATTTCCAATGACATCCTTTGTACTTTCTAACAAAGATTCCATTAGCCTTTGACCCCATTCTTTATAAAACTATTCTGAAGGTCAGATCAACAAGCCTTTCCAGCTTTGTTATGATCACAACTGAGAGATTGTATCTCAACGAAATGTCACGATCATCCAAAAGATAAAAAAACCTCTTAGGACAAGCTGTCTGCAGTAAACTGATACAATGCATTTGGGGAAAGTGCACCTGCTACTGCATACCTTAGGGGGAGAGAGGGAAGAAAAGAAGATTACAATCTCGGGCGGATTTGGATGTGAAGGAGTTAAAAGCTAGCAGAAATTTTCATGTATAATGAATGGGGAAGGCAAACTTCTGTATGGAAGTTTCCGGCCTTAACACTGAGAAGGTTAAATATGATGTACTATTATGGTTATCATCAAATTCCATTGCAAATGTTGTCTGCATTTTCAATTATCTTTCAAATTAGACTCGCATTTTCCAATTTCTTTGGTTTCCATGTATATATATAAGGATACTATTTGGTAAGTCCTTTCAATGAATTCATTTAAGACAGCCAGTAAGAAGTAATAAATTGAACAATGAATGATATGTGTCATAGGATTTAAAGATAAGCAAGCAACAGCTAATCTTAAGCATTTTCTGGCCCTGAAAAGGGCCTTTTTTTTTTTTTTTTTTTATGCTGAAAGCTTTGAAAATTTACTTCGAGCTGGTGTACTTGGTGACAGCTTTGGTACCTTCTGAAACAGCATGTTTTGCCAATTCACCAGGCAGCAACAGTCGCACTGCAGTTTGAATTTCTCGGCTAGTGATGGTGCTCCTCTTATTGTAATGAGCTAAACGAGAAGATTCTGCTGCAATTCTCTCAAAGATGTCATTAACAAAAGAATTCATAATTGACATTGCCTTGCTCGAAATACCAGTGTCAGGATGAACCTGTTTCAAAACTTTGTAGATGTAAATAGCAAAAGATTCCTTCCTTCGCTTCTTCCTCTTTTTCTTGTCACCAGCTCGAACAGCTTTCTGGGCCTTTCCAGCTTTCTTAACAGCTTTTCCAGATGCTTGGGGAGGCATTTTCAAATTCTACGAATGAGATGAATCACACCTGAAAGGCCGTATTTATGCATTTTGGCCGTTTTCCTTTTCAACCAATCACAAACATCATGATGTAACCTATTTTTTGAGAGAGAAAATGTAATGGGGAGGTTAAAAGAATTTGTATATGAAATACATTTTTGAAAGAAAATTGAGTTTCGTTTACGTACATATTATTTTGTTGTCAAATTAACCCTGTCAACGGCCACACCGTGCTGAAAGTACCGGTTCTCGTCCGAACACCGCAGTCAAGCAGCGTCGGGCGCGGTCAGTACTTGGGAGGGTGACCACCTGGGAACACCGCGTGCTGTTGACATTTTTGTCCTCTTGCAAATTTTTATGTATCCGTACTAATAATTATTAATTCAAAATACATATTTTTTGTGTGTGTGTCTGATAGGAAAAGCTATAGTTATATAAAACACTGATAACTGATGACATGCAAGCCTTAATCTTATGCTACATTTATAATGACACCAATCTGTTGAAATAAAAATTCTCGTTCTCCTGATCTGTTCTCAATTATAATACTTTACATACCATATAAAACAGTTTATATGAACTTAAAAAAAAAAAAAAAAATACCCTGAGGACACTTAACACAAAAGGATATTACATTAATTGTTGTAAATCCTACTAACGCCATATTGATAGTATTCTTATTGGTCGAACAGAGACCTTTGATCACGTGACACGCACGGAAAAATAGCATAAATAAAAGTGCCTGAGAACCGAAATCCGTTTTTTCTGATATTTCAGTGTTGCAAAAATGTCTGGCCGTGGTAAAGGAGGCAAAGGTCTTGGTAAAGGGGGTGCCAAAAGGCATCGCAAGGTCTTGAGAGATAACATCCAGGGTATCACAAAACCAGCAATTAGGCGCTTGGCAAGACGAGGTGGAGTAAAGCGTATTTCCGGCCTCATCTATGAGGAAACGCGAGGAGTTCTGAAAGTTTTCTTGGAAAATGTGATCCGAGATGCTGTCACCTACACAGAGCATGCCAAGAGGAAAACTGTCACTGCTATGGATGTCGTTTATGCATTAAAGAGACAGGGACGTACTCTATATGGATTTGGAGGTTAAATATCATTACCTTGCCCTAATTCCCCCCCCCCCCCCAAAAGGCCCTTTTCAGGGCCATACAAATTTTTAAAAAAGATATGCCTTTATTGTAAAATTTCTCGCTATAACAGTACTCCCGATTTAATTATATCGGTTTAAATCATTATCTACTTAAGCTGTATGAATCGAATTAAAATTAGCATTTTATATTCCTTCTTTAAAAAGTTACACACCAATAAAAATAAATCTATTTTTTTATAAAGTATTTGTATTCATTAAATCTTTTTTTGTGAAGAAGTATTGATTATTTTTTAATACTTCATTGGCCGGTCAGATGGAGGCCTCTCTTCTTCAGGAGCAAAGGAAAAAGAAAGCTTTCTTCTGAAGAGGACAGACTTGTGTTTCGCATTAAATATTACATATCTACTATTCATAGGCACACTAATAAAGGCATATCTTTATTAAAATTTGTATGGCTCTGAAAAGAGCCTTTTTTTTTTTTTTTAATTATTTCAGTCCATCATCCTTTCACTTTTTGCCTTTCTTTGGAGTGGCTTTTTTAACTGCTTTAAGTTTCTTTGCTTTGGGAGGCTTCGGCTTCGTTGCTTTCACAACTTTCTTTGGGCTTTTTGCTTTACTCACTTTTTTAACGCTCGTTTTTTTGGCAGCAGGCTTTTTCTTCTCCTCTTTTGCTTTAGCTGGTTTCTTTGCAGGCGCTTTAGCTTTCTCTTCGCCGGTGATGCAGCTGCCTTCTTTGGCTTCTTCTCTTGCTTTCCTGACTCCTTATTTTTATGGCCAGATGCACTAACTTTGAATGAACCAGTAGCTCCCTTTCCTTTCGTCTGAACTAGGCTTCCACCAGCTACAGCACTCTTCAGATACTTCTTGATAAAAGGGGTCAAACGGTCAATATCCACTTTGTGATGCGATGCAATATGCTTCTTAATGGCTTGAAGAGAAGAGCCACCCCGTTCTTTCAAACTCGTAATAGCCTCTACGACCATAGCTGAAACTTTAGGATGTGATGGTATCGTCTTCGGTTTCTTACTCGCTGATTTCTTCTTTCTTCGCCTTCTTTGGCGTAGCAGCAGCAGGTGAAGATGAAACGGTCTCTTCGGTTGACATTGTTAGGCCTCCGAACGAACGAACTAACTGTCCGATGGTAAATATCGAAATGAGGGTACCCCAATATGTGTGCGTAGACTTGGGGGAGGACACATGAGGCGGGGCTTAGAAATTTGACCTTTCATAGGTCTTGTATGCTCACGTGACCTATCAAACAGAGTTAAGAAATACGAATAGCCCGCGAAATTTTTATTATTTCTTGATTTCTAGTTGCGTTGTGAAGTGCTGAAGAAGCTCTTACTTTTGAGATGGCTCGTACGAAGCAGACTCCCCGTAGCGAAGCGGTTCCACCGGATAAAGGTATGGATCCTGTTGCGGACACCTCGAATACGACGGCCACTGATATGGACCAGGACAATGCTGGTCACGTTCTTACGGAGCTGGAAATTGCTACACTCCGACAAGAAATCGTTGAAGTAGAAAGGAGCATTACTAGCTATTACGGAACCATCCGGTACTTATCGGCCAACAGACCAGTCACGGACACGGACTATCATTCGGACATTCTGAAAAAGGAGATAGAAAAGAAGAAGACTCTGCTGGATCAGCTGAGGGGTAAGTTGAATATTGCTCTTTCCCATGCAAGCATTACACAGCCAATCACACAACAGAAACGCAAACCACGTGATAATTCAGACAGTGACGACGACACGGAAGGATTCAAAAAACCACACAAAACTGCTAAGGTACCCGTAAATGTTGCACCCAACAGTATACCCACCCAAAACAGCTACACAGCACTCTCGCAACCTGACACTCATTCCACCCAACCCACAACACAAATTAACAGCTCGCAAACACCAGATACAAGACTTCCCCAATATAGCACACCTACACCAATTATGGTTAAGCCGATAGATGGCGCCACACACAACCAGTACATCAAGAAACTCACTACACTGACTAATGCTACATTTTACGCCAAAATAAGTGGAGAATACCTCAAGTTACTACCATCAACAACAGATGATCACAGACAACTCACCACAGACTTACAAAAACATAACATCGAACATTATATCATTACACCCAAGCACAAACGCCCAATTAAAGTAGTTATCCGAGGCTTACCCATTACCACTGACACACATGAAATTTCCACGGAACTCACACACCTCGGATACAATGTACACAAAGTAGTACAACTCACAAGATTCAAAACCAAACAACCCATGCCACTATTTCAGATACAACTCATGCCAACACCAAACATCGACAAAATCTACAGTGAAACACACCTAGGTATGTTCATTATCACAATCGAAAAATACATCAACAAAAACATTACACCACAATGCCACAACTGCCAACGTTTTAATCACTCATCAGACAATTGTTTCTTCTTACCTAGGTGTGTTAAATGCGCACAACAACATAAAACAACAGACTGCCCAACACAAGGTAAATTAGATAACCCCACATGCGCAAATTGCCACAAAAATCATCCAGCTTCATACCGCGGTTGCGAGAAATTCCCCAAAAACAGAAATACAAATAATCACCCAAATTACACTTTTACTCCAAGCAACAGCACCCCAAATATACCAACTCTCACACAAGGCAGAACATACGCACAGGTCACTTCCAACAACACACAAGACACTAGAAATCAGACTCCCAACACTACATCCTAACGCGAACATTTTCACCGACATTCTTCTCCACACTAAAAGAACTCAATAATATTTTCGGCCACAATAACATATTTAAATTCTTTCTACTCTCAAAAATAGAACTTACACCAATTAAAAGCCAGCAGATACACCCATGGAGAAACTATTAATTCTATTTACATATATGTGAGGAAGCTAACATCTTTAACTAAATAAATAAAAAAAAAAAAAAAAAAAAAACTCTTAAATTATCGTATCTTTGATCTGAAAACATAATACACTTGCTTGCATGAGACCCCTCAGCTCTATTTCCAAATTCCAACTTTTTCTCCCATTGGACACTTTCAAACCCACCATGACCTGAAGATTTTCAAGATCTCTCCGCCCATCGACGCCGCCTTCTGCCCTCAGCGCAGCGACTTTCAACCTAGGAGTTAGCCTCCGAATACTTCTCCCCAAGTGCAGGTATCTTCAAATCATCTTTCAACTGGACTATGTCACCATCATTGCTTATCGACATGCCATCATCACTCTGCCGAACAACACTTATGCCCATAATGTTCGAAAAGTGACGCAACTTCGATCGGGATAGGACCCTTCCGTCCAGGCGCCCTTGAAAGGAACCTGCGGTTCAGGATGATACAAGGCAACACTAAAGAATTTCCTACACAGACTTTAAAATTTACATAGGTGAAAGTATTATTAAGCAGAAAATATAAAATTTCACTTACTTTCTTCATTAGTAACTCATTTGTCACAAACGCCAGTCCACGAATAGACAATATTCTTTGTGACTTTCACCATTCTTTTTGACTGCCATTGCTGAAGTGCTGACTTCACAAATATCCAGCCACAACCGGAATGTAGAAATTGTCTGCTTTGCCACTGGTCAGTGCACAAGAGAATTGCAAAGCTTTTTTTTTTTTTTTTTTTTTTTTTTTTTTTTTTTCCTTTATAATTAAACATATTAAGAGAGCCTCTAAATTAGCATATGAAATAAACTTATTTTTGCATTATATAAACTTATATTCACAGCACCTCTGTATTAAAGGTAATGATTCAATTTTTCTACGAAAAATAGAAATGTCTGTGTATGCGTATGCTCAGTGTATAATCGTAAATCTGGTTAAATTTATAATTATAGCGTTAAATTAACCATATGCAAATTTTGAGTTCATTTAACTGGACCGTTGTACTTATTCTGTAGATCTCCATATTAAGAATGTCTTTAACTGTTTCAGGAAAAATATAAATATAATATAATTATTTATACATTATTTATTAATTTTTTCCTCATATAAAAATTATTAAATCGCTATATCATTTTTTCCGTACATTAAACAAATTAAAAAATTAGCCTCATATGATTTTTATAACAAAGATTAAAGGAACTGAAATATATGTAAAATATCAGGATTCAGCTTGCAATTTCGTAGAGTTATTATTTATTATTATTAAATAAAAATATTAGTATATCTTTAATTATAATTAATGATCCTTTGGTCTACATTAAACTGTTGTTCAAGAAGTTAAACGTTTTCGAGCATCTTATGCTGTATTTATTATTCTATTCCTCGACATGAAAGATTTGCTAGTCTTATTCCAATTCAATTGCCCACATTTGCTAATAAATAAGGAGAGTATTGTACCAAACTCAGTAAGTACACAAATTTAATATACAGCTTATTCCAGTTAAATGGGTAATAGGATTTTCATAAAAGAAATTAAATTGTGTAATTAATATAAGTGTTGATATGAATAAAAATAACAAATTGATATAAGAAAATAAATAAGTTATTTTGAAGATGTTTTGAATAAGAAAATATAATTTTTGCAAAAATGCACGTAAAGATTTAGCTCACATGTTAAAATTTATAGAAAAATTTTTAGCCTCATATATGAATGCCCCGTTTTTCATGTTCGTGGACAAGGAAAACAAAGTGAAATGCCAGAAATACACTAAATATTTTGAATTAATAAACTTCATTTTCAATCTTTTTAGACTTCGTAAAAGTAAAAGACGTAAAAGTGACGAATGAAATATATACCATAAAGGCAGTAGTTTTCTTTCAGAACATTCGGATTCGTATAATATGCGTAAAAGTGACGAATAAAATATACCATCATGGCGGTAGTTTTATCAGTACATTCGGATTCGTATAATTTTCGTAAAAATAACGTGTGGAAAATAACGATCAAGAGTTAACAGTAACTTCAGCCTTTTTCATTCGTATAAATTTCGTAAAAGTAACGTGCAAAAAATACCATTCCCTTATTTCACCAAAATTATACGTATATTTTT